GGACACCCTGGACAGGTCTCCAGTCCATCACAGGGACACCCTGGACATGTCTCCAGTCCATCACAGGGACACCCTGGACATGTCTCCAGTCCATCACAGGGACACCCTGGAGACAAATGAGACAAACATTCACACTCTCACCCAGGGATAATTTAGAGTTACCACCAGTCTAACATGCATGTTTTTGGTCTGTGGGAGGAAACCAGAGTACCTGGAGAAAACCCACACATGCACGGAGAGAACATGCAAACTCCACCCTGAAAAGCCCCGGACAGGCTTTGAACCAGCAACCTTCTCGCTGAGAGGCAGCAGCTCTCCCACTTGCACCACCGTGCTGCTCTTTTTCACTCGTTGTAAATGGCAACTTTCCGTGGAAAGGTGTGCACGTTACGTGTTAGCATACAGGTGTTTTGTTCATGAACCCTTGGAGAGGTCCTTGAGTTGATGCACCTGGAACCACGTTAATCTGTTGTTTTCTTGTTTACAGAACCCACAAAGAAGACTCCACCGGATGAATTATAACAGCTGGAACTTGGTGTGAGTGTATGTGTGTGTGTGGGACACTATTTATTGACTAAAACGTTCAACTTCTTTTTTCCTTTGATCATTTTCCATTTTTAATAACATTGTTGCTAGAACGCCTGAAGGCTGATTGGAAAATACTCCTTCCTTTGTTTAACACAAGTCGAGCTGAAGACTGTCGGATGAATGTGGTGTCCAAAGTTGGGACCTCCTCTGTGCTGGTACATGAGACCCTAGCTGTGTGGGAGCAGATACCCAGTCCCTGGATGTTGGTGATTTCCTGCTCATGTGTGCTCTGCGTCCTTACCTCCTTTCACAGCTGATGTGGCGTGCACGTCACATCAGCATTCTCAGTTTTTTGTTGTACTGATGGACTTGAAAAAAATTTCAGTAATAAAATCTGTACATTTACCCTATAAAGTCTTTTTTTTTTTTTCCTTCGGGTGCGGTGGGGTTGTCTCTATTTCTTTTTTATAGAATGAAATGTAGATAGTTTTAATTTACATTTTCAGAGAAGCATCAGGTTAAGTTAACCCAGTGCAGTAGTCCCTTGTTTATCGCGGGGGATCCGTACCCTGAAGACCCGCGAGAAGTGAGAAAACACAAAGTAGGAATAGTAGTAATGAGACATAATCTATGAAATATGTATCTGGAAATCACAATGTATGATTTTTTAATAATTTATTTGTGTGTTACTGCTGCAAATAAGTATTTGAACACCTGTGAACATCACTGTTAATGTTTGGTACAGTATCTTTGTTTGCAGTGACAGAGGTCAAAGGTTTCCTGTAGTTCTTCACCAGGTTCACTGCAGCAGAGATTCTGGTCCATTCCTCCACAGATCTTCTCTAGATCACCAGGTTTCTGGGCTGTCGCTGAGAAACACAGAGTTTAAGTTCCCTCCAAAGATTTTCTATAGGGTTCAGGTCTGGAGACTGGCTGGGCCACTCCAGAACCTTGATATGCTTCTTACAGAGCCACTCCTTGGTTCTCCTGGCTGTGAGCTTCAGGTCATCGTCATGTTTGAAGACCCAGCCACGACCCATCTTCAATGCTCTGAGGGAAGGAGGTTGTTCTCCAAAATCTCTCACTACATGGCCCCGGTCATCCTCTCCTTGATACAGTGCAGTCGTCCTGTCCCTTGTGCAGAAGAACACCCCAAAGCATGATGCTTCCACCCCCATGCTTCACAGCAGGGATGGTGTTTTTGGGATGGTGCTCATCATTCTTTGTCCTCCAAACATGGTGAGTGGAATTAAGACCAGAAAGTTCTATTTTGGTCTCATGTGAACACAGAACTCTCCCATGACTCCTCTGGATCCTCCAAATGTTCCTGGTCAAACTTCAGACGGGCCTGGACGTGTGCTGATTTAATCAGGGGAACCTTCTGTGCCATGCATGATTTAAACTATGACGTCTTAGTGTATTACCCACCGTAACCATGGAAACAGTGGTACCAGCTCTCTTCAGGTCATGGACCAGCTCCTCCGTGTAGTTCTGGACTGATTCCTCACCTTTCTTAGGATCACTGATACTCCACGAGGTGAGATCTTGCATGGAGCCCCAGTCCAAGGGAGACTGACAGTCATGTTTAGCTTCTTCCATTTTCTAATAGTTGCTCCAACAGTTGATCTTTTTTCTCCAAGCTGCTTGGCAATTGTCCCGTAGCCCTTTCCAGCCTTGTGGAGGTCTACAATTTAGTCTCTGGTGTCTTTGGACAGCTCTATGGTCTTAGCCATGTTAGTAGTTGGAGTCTTACTGACTGTGTGGGGTGGACAGGTGTCTTCATGCAGCTACCGACCTCAAACAGGTGCTTCTGATTTAGAATAATAAGTGGAGGTGGACTTTTTAGAGGTGGACTAACAGGTCTTTGAGGACCAGAATTGTTGCTGATTGGCAGGTGTTCAAATACTTAATAATACTTAATAATACCAGTAACACAAATTATTTAAAAAATCATACATTGTGATTTCTGGATTTTTTTTAAATATATATATATATATATATATATATATATATTTTAGATTATGTCTCAAGTGGACATGCACCTAAGATGAAAATTTCAGACCCTCCATGATTTCTAAGTGGGAGAACTTGCAAAGTCGCAGGGTGTTCAAATACTTATTTTCCTCACTGTATGTACAGGTCCTTCTCAAAAAATGAGCATAGTGTGATAAAGGTCATTATTTTCTATAATGTAATGATAAAAATGAAACTTTCATATATTTCAGATTCATTGCACACCAACTGAAATATTTCAGGTCTTTAATTGTTTTAATCCTGATGATTATGGCATACAGCTCATGAAAACACAAAATGCCTGTCCCAAAAAATTAGCATATTTCATCCCACCAATGAAAGACAAGTGTTTTTAATACAAAAAACTCCAACCTTCAAATAATCATGTTCAGTTATGCACTCAATACTTGGTCGGGAATCCTTTTGCATGAATGACTGCTTCAATGCGGCGTGGCATGGAGGTAATCAGCCTGTGGCACTGCTGAGGTGTTATGGAGGCCCAGGATGCTTCGATAGCGGCCTTAAGCTCATCCAGAGTGTTGGGTCTTGTTCTCTCAACTTTCTCTTCACAATATCCCACAGGTTCTCTATGGGGTTCAGGTCAGGAGAGTTGGCAGGCCAGTTGAGCACAGTAATACCATGGTCAGTAAACCATTTACCAGTGGTTTTGGCACTGTGAGCAGGTGCCAGGTCGTGCTGAAAAATGAAATCTTCATCTCCATAAA